ACCCCAGATCAGATTTTCTACTCATTTGATATGTTTACAGCAGTGTGGTTAAGTTGATATAGCAAAATTGTTTCCTTCTGCCCATTCCCCTGTACCTAGATTCTTGTCTAAGCATCATGTCTGTACCCTGGTGTGATCACCACTCTATAGTGCATTTATTGTGTTTATCTTTACCTGTCTAATCTGCTTGCTTTCTAGGGATGGAAACTAGACTATGTCCATCCCTATCAGCTTTTTACTCCCAGTTCTTACCTGATAGATCATCAGTACATACTCTCTGAATGAATGTTCTGCATGTTACTTAGAGCAGATAAAAAGGGTCAGTTAACTTTTATTCTTCACAAATCCAATTCGTTTGTATGCCTTTAGAATGGATTTTTTAAGTATATTTTCTGACATTTTGAGATTGGCCTTAGTGAATGGCCAAAAAATATTTTAAAATGGCCATCTCTGACAAACTAAATAGTGATAAATAGGAAGTTAAATACGGGGAGGGGCTGTAGTGCTTAAGGTCTTTTTGGTTTTGTTCTTTGGCTGCAAGTAAGAGCTGCCTTAGACAACCAAGTAAATAAATGAATTAAACATATTTGTGCAGTTTTTTTTTCTTTGTAGATTTTTTTTTAAAGATTTTATTTATTTTTTGACAGAGACAAGCAAGGGGAGTGGGAGAGGGAGAAGCAGGCTTCCCACGGAGCAAGGAGCCCGATGCGGGGCTTGATGCGGGGCTCGATGCGGGGCTCGATGCGGGGCTCGATGCGGGGCTCGATCCCAGGGTCCTGAGCCAAAGGCAGACACTTAATGACTAAGCCACCCAGGCGCCCCTTTGTAGATTTGAAGGAGGAATTGAGAAGCTGTGCCTTACAGAGTGTGGCTGTGGACTGTCTGAGTACTTTGACAGCAAGGGTTGAAGGCTTTTATTGTCTCTACGATCACCGAGCCACAGGTCTCAATTCCCAGCTTTTGTGTCTCTTTTGTTCAAATTCCAAATTTCTGTAAACAGAGTATCATTAGCCCAGCTGTGCTGGGAGATAGGGACGGAGAGTCCAAGCCTGGTTACATCCAAAAAGGGTAATTACTATAGTACTTTAAAATGTATATATTTTTAATTCCTGTAGCTTTCTCACTTAGGAGTTGAATTATTGAAAACTAGTTTTTCTGATTTTTTTTTATAGATGGGAAGAATATTATTTTTAAAATTTTTACTTTAATTCCAGTTAGTTAACAACCAGTGTTAGATTCGTTTCCAGTGTACAGTATAGTAATTTAAAAGTTCCATACATCAGCCTTAAATGGGAAGAATTTTAAATACTACCTAAAGAAATTCTCTCATGAGTGCTTTTATAATATAGTCCTGTTCTAAAATGTAGATGTTATTATTCGGGTACGGTGAGGCCGACCCATCAGGAAAGGACGATGATTAAACAGTCTTGTCACTGAGAGGAGGGGCCATGCCTTGCCCTAAAGGACCACACACAGAGCACCAGGGTTGGTCAGGAGGCAGAGAGAGCAAGGGGAAAATATGGCCAAGAGCCTCCCCTGTGGCTTCTGTGGGAAGGAATGGGTAAGGGAGCGTAAGCAGGTTTGGCTAGTATGAATCATTTCAGGGGAATCTGGGGTATAGCTGTTGTCTCTAGTTGGTTGGAGTGATGAGGGCAGGTGGAGAGTGGTTCCATGCATTAAGGCATGATAAAAGATGGGGTAGGAGTAAGGGCTTTGGATTGGTTTGCCTTCGAAGGGTGCTTTCCTAGGCAAGTCTCCTGCTACCTCTACAAATTGGCCAACCCTCAGAAGCAGTCTCCAAGCAGTCGGCAAGGCTCCAGATGTCAAAGCATCAGAACTACAGAAAAATAACAAGACCCGATGAGGAGAGTTTCTCCCTTTGAGTCGGTTGTGAGTTTTCATGTGAAATCTAGTTTAAGTTCCTGAAATGGCCTTACCTTGATGTAACCCTCTGCTGTGAACTAGACTTTCCCTGTCACCCTCCCCTCTGTCACACAGGCTTCCTTATAGTTCCTCGAACGCGTCAGGCACACGTCTGACTGTAGGGGCCCATAGAACCATTCCTTTGGCTACGAATACTTGCCCCTCAGATAGCAATTTGGCTTCCTTTTTGTTTCCTTCCTTTTCGTTTGCATCTGTTACTTTGTGAGTGAGGCCTACCCACTTAATGCAGCAGTCGGTACCCACTCCGGCTCCTGCTTACCGCTTCCTGTTTGTAGGTAGCACGTACTGCTTTTAACATGCTGTGTCGTTTGCTTGCTTATTATGCGTGCTGTTGGTCCCTCTCCAGTGCGGGGGGTCTTTACTCTGTTCATCAGTGTACTCTAAGCAACTCAAAACAGTTCCTGGAACATAACAGGTGCTTGGGAAATTTTTGTTCAATAATATTATTTTTCCAAAAGTGGTACACTCTCTTCAGAGGATGCATAAGGTATATGAGATTAATCTGTAGCAATGTCCAACATGGGAATACAATCATGTTCTTACTGTATTAGTCAATTATTGAGGCCAAATAGTGTAAAGGAAACATAAAGTGGTGAGATTCTTGTTTAGCAATCCCTCATTTAGCCAGCCAGATGACGGAAGAAATTCTCTCACCTTTGCTGACTTTGAGGCTCTGTATATGGAGTTTTTCTTGTTAATACCATAGCTACCCCAAGTAGAGGGCCAGTGACTTTACACACAAACCAATTGATGCTACCTGACTTTTTCATTGTAGCTCTCTTATTTGATCTGAAGGCTTTCTTTTCATTATCAAATCCACAGGGCGATGCCCTTCAATTCCCTTGGAAGAGCCACTCTCACTTCTTCCTAGAAGTTAGCTCTTTGGTCAAAAACTCTTAGAAACACTCTCTGGGCAAAGGAATGACAGACCAAGATGAGCTCTTAGTAAGTCTGGCTGGCTGCCTTGTGTGTTACAAGGGTATGATTTTAAGCCATGTGCTAAGAAAAAATGGCAAAATCCTGTTGAAAAATATCTCTTCTGGAAACGTGGCATTTGGGAAACAGGAAATGATTTAAACAAATGTAAAACAAATGACATTTATGATATATTCAGATATTTAAGATGTTGAGCTATTGGGGAAGTTTAGGTTTGAAATGGTATTGTGGGGGCACCCCCCTTGGGTCCCCTCCCTCCTTAGGAGCTTTGTCCTATCACTTTGCTATTGCTCAATAAGTGTTGCTTTGCTGCCCGCCCCCAAATGGTATTGTGGTTTTTGTTTTGTTTTGTTTTTAAGATTTTATTTATTTGTCAGAGAGCACAAGCAGGGGGAGCAGGCAGAGGGAGAGGGAGAAGCAGGCTTCCCGCCGAGCAGGGAGCCCAACGTGGGGCTCGATTCCAGGACCCTGGGATCATGACCTGAGCCGAAGGCTGATGCTTAACCGACTGAGCCCCCCAGGCACCCCTAAACAGTCTTTATCTTCAGTAGATTCGTGCAGTTGAAATGATGTGATATGCAGGCTTTGCTGCAAACTAATGTCGGAGTCGAGAAGTGGGCAGGGATGGAAATGCAGCCAGACTGGCCCAGAGTTGGTTTATTGCTGAAGCCGGGAGATGGGTGCATTAGGCTTATTAGACTGTTGTGTCTATTTTTCAGTATATTGCCAATTCTCAATTAATAAAACATTTTGAAAATATAATAGTTGGACAGTTTGTCTTTCTGAATTTAAATGAAACACATTTTATATTTCATCATCAAAATGATACTGGTTGGAACGCCTGGGTGGTTAAGCGTCTGCCTTCAGCTCAGGTCATGATCCCAGGGTCCTGGGATCGAGTCCCGCATCAGGCTCCGGGAGCCTGCTTCTCCCTCTCGTTCTGCTCCTCTTCCCCACTCATGGTCTCTCTCTCTCTCTCTCTCTCTCTCTGACAAATAAATAAAATCTTTAAAAAAGAAAAGAATGATACTGGTTATTGGTTTAAAGGCCTTTCTTCTTGAGGAAAAAAAAAAAACCTTCTATCGCTAATTCTTTAGGAGTGGATGCTCAAGAACATTCAACGCTTTATCCATGTCTTGAGATAATTAGGTGTTTCTGTTGGACCTCTTACTTGTAATAATAGTAAAACCCTTTTGTGTTTTGTAGGAAACTCTACAGGTAGTTAACCTTTACCTCACCAGATATTTGCTGAGCAGCTAGTAAGTGGCAGCTTGGTGCTGAGCACAGCAGTGGGGGTGGGGGTAATAGGGAACATAGCAGGCAGTTCCTTGGGGTCCTGAAGCTCAGTCTCAGTGGAGAAAATAGATCATGATCAAGCAAATAAATGAACCAGTTCAGGTGGTGGTAAGGCTGTCTCTGGCTTTCCGCCAGAGAATTGGGCGCTGGAGCCCAGGGGCTGGTGAGGGCGACCAGGGTGAAGTCTGGTACCTTCTTTCCAGTGGGGCCACACTTCTCAGTGAGGCAAGAAGGGACAGGTTTTCCTCAGTTTAGCTGCATCACCTTCTCCTTGCATGGTCATTCTTTCCAGATTCCAGCATGGGTTGGGTATTAAAATTAGTGTTTGAAATTCCTTTGAGTTCCTTCCCTTTCCTGTGTCTTTAAAGGGATTTAATTACTAAGATCAGAGAGTTGACCTCCAGGTACTGAGAGGCCGACACCACCTGCCCTGAAACCAAACACGTGTATGTGAGAACCATAGTCCCAGCTGTGTTAATTATCCTGTTAATAATTTCACTGCTTAATATACTTAACAACAAAGCCAATTGGGAAATTAAAAATGAGTAACAACCCCCCCTCCCCAGAATGACTGAGCACCTACTCGTGCTCATGTAGGTCTCACAGCTAGCTAGGGTGGCGCATCTGACCGTGGAGAATCTATAGCACAAAGGGATGAAATACCTTGCTCAAAGACACACACTGGAATCAGTTGGAGGAGCTGGGGCTTGAACCCAGGTATTTCCTCTCTAGACGCCGCATTTTAAACCTGTATACCCTAGGCTCATGTTTAATACAGTCTGTAAGGATGATGATTGCTTCTAAGATGCTCTTTTGTATTTCAGGTTTTGCTGATCTTTGCAAAGGAAGATAGTCAGAGTGATGGATTCTGGTGGGCCTGTGACAGAGCTGGTTATAGATGCAATATTGCTCGGACTCCAGAGTCAGCCCTTGAATGCTTTCTAGATAAACATCATGAAATTATCGTAATAGATCACAGACAAACTCGAAACTTTGATGCAGAAGCGGTGTGCAGGTACCTTTTCTAATGTAACATGCTCGTTAAACGTTCACTTAATAGCCTAAAATGACCGTCACTTAGAGATGTCTTTAGTTCCATCCCAAGTATTTCTAAAATGTGTGTTGATGCATCTAAGCAGTCTGTGCAGATTTCTGTGATGAAAGCTATAGCTCCTCCTATAGATTTATTTCACCCTTTCTGTTTTTCCACATTTGAGTTCCAGTGAATTTAGAGGTGCGAGCTGGGTGTCTCTGAAAATGTTAAGGTGTTTTTCCCCCCAAGTATTGCTCATATTTCACACACACACACGCACGCACGCAAGAGACATTGAAATTCACACAGTTTTTGTTATACAGATGGGGTTTGGATTTAAACCAGATATTTTAATCTTAATTATTCTGTCCCAAAATGAACATCGGAAATGTGTGAAATACACATGTCTCCCTGCCTGACACAGATGGGTAGATTCTACAGCGGTTGGGGAGCACAAACAGCTTCTTTACCTCAGCGGAAAGTCTTCCAGGGATCCAAACGCCCCACTTGTTTACAGAAATGCTTGCACTCCAGGGGGGAAAATGCATGCCTGTTCATAAATAAATGCAGTCATAAGAGTTTTCTGTGGATGAACTGATCCATTTAGCACAAGTGGAATGCTTTGAAGCTAGACAGCAAGAGGTCACTAATTAAATGCTAGACCAGCACAGACTCCAATTACATATGGAGCTGGAATTTTCTTGAATATTAGTAAGTGAAACGAAAGGTAAGGAAGTGGCTTCTTAGATCCTTTGGCACCCTGAGAAGAAATGATTGGATTAAGAGACATTTCTCATCATAGGCATTGCCTTGTTATTCTTTGATCCTTCTCAGTTTCTCAAAGAAGAATTTTTCTCACAGAACCTATTTTAAAATGTCTTACTGGCCTCAAATAATCTTACTATTGTGCATAGAAATATTTTCTTTTTAAATTATTATAGATACAAATAAATGTATCATAAAATATTTGGATGGTACTTTCAGTATTAAGAAAATAAATACTAAATATTTAGTAAGAAATACTAAGAAAAAATACTTTTTCTTTTTAAATGATCTACAGGATAGAATTTGGTCCTTTATAACTAGATCTTCTTTTTCTTGGTCTTGACTTAATCTTCTTAAATGATTTTGTAGTAGAAACACCACTGTCCTTTGTGCATACATGGAATGATTTAAGACAAGATTCAGGTGTAAAAATAAATTCTTTTTATTCAGGTGAAGAAATTTAGCAGATAAGCTTTACAATCTTCCTTGAATATAAAGAAATTTAGTTTTTTTATCTAATGTACTTCTGTCTTAGCTGCACAGAAAAACAGTGGGGGATCTGTGTAGGTCAGAAGCCAGGTTGTGTATCAGGGGCTGTGTTTACCGACTCTTATTTGTTATGTTGAGGGCAGCCAGATTCCTGAATGCACGACTGCCAGTACATGTCCCCCTAAAATGAGTAAGGGACACGCTCTTGGCAGATGTACATTCATTACTGTCATCCATGGTCCAAGATCCCTGGATTTTTGAGCTAGACTGGACCTTAACATGCTTCCTTGGACCTCTACCCCACCGATTGCAGTTCCCCTTCGTCCTCTCCACCAGGAAGAGGTCTGGGTCTCCCTGGCTATACCAGTTCCTTTGGAGGAATGAGAAAGAAGAGATAAGCAGCAAGAAGCAACCCCCAAAATGAAAGCCAGTTTCCAAAGAAGCTAAGGGAGCATGGGCTCTAGCCCAGTTACGTTCTTAACAGTGTTTGTGCCTCTTGAGGCTCACTCCTTAGAACGTAGCCTTGCAGTGTAGCCTTGACTTCTCGTTGGGGTGGAAGAGATTGCACAAGGCTGAGAAGTGCTTAGTATTTCCCTAGACAATAGGGTGCACCTCGGACTTGCTATGCATTTTTTTCATTAGGTGGTAACTGGTATTTCTGCTGAGAATTCAGTAGGCTCTTAGGTAAAAAAAAAAAATGGTACCTTGGCCTCATCAAGATCTGTGCTGTGGGGTGGCTGAATAGGAAGTAGTCTGTGCTAGCCTTAATAGGGGGTCTTGACTTACTCTCCCTGTCCCACAGTGAGTTAAGGCATTGAACTTAAGGAGTTTGTTCAAACACCATTTATCTACCATAGGAAACTGTACTTCCCAGGAAGACGAGAGCTGGTCACTTTCCTGAACCTCCCACCCACGTAGAGTGAGATCTCAAGGAATAGGAAATTGGGAAAGTACCTTTTCTGAGAAAGGTCAAGAAATGTGAGAGTTGAAGGAAATGAAGCAATACAAGCTGGCTTTTTCTAGGGGAGCAGTAGTACAAATATGTTGTAGTGCAGAAGAGCTGAAATGCCAATAGCTAGAAAGATCAACAAATACATGTTGTTTCACAAATTACTCAGGAGCAGCCTTGAGCCTTCTGTTCTTAGAGATGATGGTTCTCTTCCCAGGGATCTCAAAATAAACAGAGTCCAGATGGAGGAAATGGGTCAAAACAAGCAGGCTTATTTGTACTAAGCTTCAAGTATGTGGCCCTTTATTAATAGTTCATTCCATTCACGAGCCCTGACCAGGATAATCCAGAATCAGAGCTGCGGCATGCAATAGCACATGTTGTAAGAAGATGCATGGACCTCAAAGTTCTAGATCCTTACGTAGTCCAATCCTATTAAAATCTTACGGACTAAACAACACACAGGTGGCCATGGTACAGCGGGGATCAGCAGGGACAGTGGCCGCACCGCAGCGTTGCCCAGCCCTAGTTTGTGGCCCACTCGCTGAAAGCATTTCAGCACAAACAGCAGTACGACCAAAACAAATTAGGCAGCTCTTTGTATCGCTCTTACGAGTTTCAACCTGAATTGGTATGTCCAGCGGCCAGCGAGTATTTTAATTTTTATTATAAGGTCATCTTTCTGAGCTATCTACTATTTTAAAAGAAAAAAAGATGCAAAGCAATTAGCTCCCTAAGTACAAACTGATAACCGGAGAGCTGTAGGACTGCCAGTTTCTTTGCAGAGTGGAATTTCAGTCAGAAAACATGGAACTTAAGTGGAATTTGCCAGTTTTTGAAGTGAAAAATTGGCAGATCTGACCCATTGGACAACTGCCCAGGCGTTTAAAAAAAAAAAAAAAAAGCTTTTTTTTTTTTTTTTTTAAAGGAACAACAAAGAGATTGTCCTAATCTTTAAGGGCATCTTTCTCTGTTGTCTTTACGTGTTTTCGGACTTTCTCTTGAGAGGAAGATTGGGTTTTGTGCCATTTTTCAATGTGAGGTTCCGCATTTGTTCATTGTAACAAAGCCCAGATCACCTGGTTTGACTTGGAGCTCTCTCGTTGCAGGTCGATCCGGGCCACAAATCCTTCCGAGCACACAGTGATCCTTGCGGTGGTTTCACAAGCGTAAGCTCCTCCCCCGCCCCCCGACTCCCATCCCCAGTTGGCGGTGGTACTGTTCATTCTGAAACATGTGTCTGATGGAATCCAGTCTGTGAGCCAGCAGAGCAGTGGGCATGCCCTTGGCCCCACAACACCAACTTTAGATCTTGCTCTGTGGGGGTGTCCTCTGTGTTGCGAGCTTCTGGATATATTTAGGTTTCTCTCTGTCATCCTTAACTGCTGTTAACCCACACTAGTACACAGGAGGAGAAAAGGGGTGCTCGTTGCGTGCTAGAAATGAACAGAAGATCTGAGGGAGATGTCTGGGGAGAAATTTGTTCCCGCTCATCATTTTTCTTTGAAGAAAAGAGGTAGCAGACTTCTTGTTCTTCACTGAAGAAGAAACAAATTACAGTATGAGCACAAAGAAGCAGTAAACACGCTGGAAGGAAAGGATTGTATAGTTGGGGTCAGGACTGCTCTGTGTCTAGAAGCAGGACAGTAGGATGTATGCCCATGCTGGAAGGCAACAGAAGGGGGATTGGGCTATAGGTACGAGACAGTGGGATGAGAAGCTGCTCTGCTGGGTTTGTTGTCTGAAATGGCCACCCCTTAGAACGAGAGACCGAAAAGGAACACACGCTGCTGGTACAAGCTATAGTCGTTGGAATCAAAGTTGTTGTATTCATTCATTTATTTTTTTTTTAAGATTTTATTTATTTATTTGAGAAAGAGAGAGAATGAGAGACAGAGAACATGAGAGGGAAGAGGGTCAGAGGGAGAAGCAGACCCCCCGCTGAGCAGGGAGCCCGACGTGGGACTCGATCCCAGGACTCCGGGATCATGACCTGAGCCGAAGGCAGTCGCCCAACCAACTGAGCCACCCAGGCGCCCGAAAATGGTTGTATTCATTTAGTAGCCATCCTTCGCTTTGGAGAGAAGAAGGCCTTTGATGAGGGCCTAGAGCCCTACTGGACTTGGCCCCATTATGGGAGCTGGCACAGATTCTGCGACAAGCCAGCAACGGAGACAGGAGAGTTGAGGTCTCCCCCAGGCAAGCCTGGCCCAGGGGAGATTTGAAATACTGCTTATTGGTACAGGAAGAAATCGTGGCTACAGAGTTTTACCCCAACCAAAGACTCTTCTTACCTATTATTCCCTGAGTCTGTTTTTAAGAACTGTGTTGCTTCACTTCATTCCTACCATGGCCAAGTCCAAGGAAAGGAAAGAAATCATTCCCATTGGTTCCTGATCTCATTATCCTGGTGGGACTTGGGGTCTCAAGTGGAATGAGTGAGGGGGACCAAGGTATATTTAGCCTTCATCACCCCCTTGTATTTTGTCTTGAGGGCACTGGGAGGGGTTACTAGAGTGTTCTGAGTCTTGTGCATGGATTCCAGGAGTATACCGGGCCACACACCATACTCCCCAAGGCTGGCTCATTCCACGAACCCAAAAGGGAAACACAATTTTTTTTTACATTAGGCATGTAGCGGAAATGCTTACAAATCTTTGACAAATAAGGACTTGCTATGGCTTGTTATTTTCCACCCTTTCCCCCACTGTTTTTAAAATAAAATATTTTATATAGATACAGAACAATAATAAAATGAATGCTGAGTTTGTGGAACCAGCTTATGAAATAGAATGTTATTAACACCTTCGGACTCTTTTTGTGTCCCTCCTCATTTATCAGTCGAAGAAGGTTGAATGTGGAGTTCCTGAGTAGAAAAAGCAAGGAGGACTCCTTTTCCCTGTAGGGAAGGCGTGAGCTATGGGGAAAGCCACAAACAAGCCCCAGGATTTCCCTCCCTGGTCACCCGCTCCTCCACCTAATATCTTTTATTCCATTTTCCTTCTCTGTTTTCCAAGGTATATACTCCATGTTACTTGCTGGCTATCTCAGGGATGCCCTTTCTCTCTTATAATGATGGAAGCAGAAATGTAGCATGTCTTTATGATGAGCAAACATTGTACCCAAATGAAGTTCTGAGACCCAGCTGTAGGCTCAGTGTAGGAAACCTTCCTGTGAAATGAGGGACGATAATCCATTTTTTTTTCTCTTATTCCTTTCTAACATGACATTCCTGATGACCCTTTTTCTGCATTTGGCTATGGGGTGCTGTAGTCTGTAGTGCCAGGGGTCTTCCTCACACTGAGAGTTGGACCTAGCCAGGTGTTGGGGTGGGAGTTGTGCTTCCAGAAGGTTTGGGGACAGCGGTGTCTGGGATGAGCATTGGACCAACCTTGTCCCATCCATTTGTTGCAACTTTCAAGAGCAGCCCAGCTTTGGAGATGGCCACTCATGTGGACCTGTGGTGATGCTTTCGGGCACACTGCTGGAGTTTTCTCTACTGTTTATGTTCCTTTTTTTTTGCATCTGGAAGGCAGATGGGGGTCCTGGAAGGCAGGTGCATCCCGTGGGCACATGCTGGTCAGGAAGCCACTGGTAGAGCAAACGCCATGCTTGCCTCATTGTTCTCTCTCCATGTTTCAGTGTGAGGAACCCTGGTTTGTATCTGCTGAGTGACTGCATTTTCTGCTTTGCTGCAGATCGGGTGACCGTGAAGAGGCCTCGGTCCTCCCTCTCCTGCATGCAGGCTTCAACAGGGTATGTATGTAGGAGGAGACTCAGCAGCTCTCCGCAGGCCGGACACCTCACCGGTGACTCTTGAGTAATAGCACAGCCATGGAGCTGCACAGCAGCTTTAGAGAGTTGAGCTCCAGGACCGTGAGGGAAAGGAAATAACTGTTCTCACAGGAGGGTAACAAGCAACGGCTAGTCAAGCTTTTTCCTTCATAACTTCATGCATCCTAGTTACAGGATTGTAATGACCTAAAAACACATCTTCCTATACCAGGTCAAAATTCCGTAGTCCCAAAGCAGCCTCACTTAAATGAGCCCCGTCTGTGAGATTCATCATACATATGTGAGTGTTAGATACGGTTAAGTCCACCAAATTGGCACCCAGGGTTTTGTGTTCGTCAGGGCCTCGTCAGGGCTTAGACGCCAGGGATAGGCCCATGACGGCTTTCGTATCTGTGAACTCCTGGTTTAAACCGTAAATGTCAGCAACAACAAGGTCTTTGAGTGACAACTGTAGGAGTAACACTGACGTTCAATATGAAGCTCAAGATGGAGGACTCCAGGGGTGATGTCTCCAAGACCGAGACATGGGTTGTTCCTGGTTTCACTCCTCACTGCTGAGAGAATCGTTGAACGTGGAGGTGAGGCTGATGCACCCCCTGCCTCACAGAGATCAGGCAGACTGTGTTAGCAGGGTGAGGGAAGCAGTTCCACACTGACCCGCACGGCCTCTCCCCCCGCCACTGTGGCTCCATGCAGAGAGGTCTCCCCTCCTCGTCTAGTGGAAAGGGACCTCAGTGGTGACAGCGAGCTCCCCACCCTAGCACACTGGGTTGCTTTGTGGGAGCCCCTACTCTGATCTCGCACCACGGGGATTGCAGGGGAGTGTGCGTGGCTCACCCACTGGGAATCTGACACCACCCCCCCACCCGCCCCCACTGAGAAGAGGGTGAGCCGGCAACAAGGAGCATGTGGATGCTGGCAGACCAGGTTCATTCCTGCAGTGCCGCGGCAGTCTCCCCAAGCAGTGGTTTTGCTCATCTGCAGAACCATGTCACAGGCGCGCTCTGACCAGGGAACTGCGGAGTGCAGATCTACCTGATTTGGATCCTCAACTGAGGAGTTCTGCTGGCCCTGTAACTGGCTTGCTTGGGCAAGGAATGGAATCACAGCCCCGGCAGCTCTGGAGGGTGTCTTAGGCCCTGTCTGACCCGAGGGGCTGGCACCAGCTCCTGGAAGCAATACAGCCCAGTGGCTCACGAGCCAAGAGGGGGGCGTGCAGAGCTGATGGTCCCCAGAGTCAAGGCCATACCCGGCCCGGAGAGTTTCTGTGCCACACACTTGGCACAGGCAGAGGGATTAATTCATAGCCAAGGCTGAGGGTAGCTCCCGGCCTCTCCCAACCTGCAGAGCCTGTTGAGAAAATTGAGAGTAGCCTGGAGTGACCCCTCCCCTTCTTGCCCAGGCAGGGAAGGGGAGACACAGCCACACTGGCTCTGGAGAGCGTCTTCCAGCCCATTCTGCCCAGAATGGCTAGGGATAACTCCTGGAAGCCCTGCGGCCCAGCAACAGTTGAGCGGAGAGGCAGGCCAGAGCTGACCGTTTGCATAACTAAGCCAGTGGCCCTATTCCGTCAGGGAACTTGCCAAGCAGATCTGCTTGAGTTAAGACAAAGAGTTCTTCTAGCTTTGGAGATGCTTCTGCCACTGTGTTGAGGCAGGAAATGTCATTCATAGCCTCACTCATCACTGAACACAGCCTTTATTTAGCCTGTCCAGCCAGCGAACCGAATTAGAGCTTACAGGAAGCTGCAGAGCCCACTCGGCAGCCCTACATACAGGGGTACTTGAACCGAGAGTATAGAGCAGAACTGGGGGCTTCACCTGACCAGGAAATTCAGTGCACACTCTGGCCTAATTTGGGTTGCTAAAAAATGAGCTCTGCAGACCTTGGGTCCCATCCTGCTGCCCTGCCAGGGCTGGAAGGCTAGTTCCTAGGCTTATCTACTACTGAATATAGTCCCCAGTTCTGACCATCTAGGAAGCCTGACCAGAAACTTCAGTCAACTGTAGAACCCATCCTAGAGCTTCACTTGGGTAGGGAACCAAGTTGTCAGTCCTGTCCAGTTGTTCTTAGCCAGTAGCACACACCCCTATCCCCCTTGACCTGAAAGAGGCCATAATAGCATGCTCCACCTGCCCAAGGTCATTCCCAGAAATCACACTCAGAAACCCAAACTGAGCTGATGAAGAACTGTGTCTGCCAGAGCAAACCTACAAAGTCTACAAGATGAGCCCCGTTACCCAGATGCACAGATACCAACATGAGGAGTCAGGGAAAAATCAGGTCAATATGAAACACCGAAGGAAACTAATAAAGCTCCAATAACGGACTTTAAAGAAATGGAGATCTATGAATTGGCAAAGAATTCAGAATAATCCTCTGAAGGAAGTTGAGTAAAACTGCAAGAAAGCCCAAACAACTAACGAAATTAGGAAAACAGTTGGACGAACAAAATGAGAAGTTTGACAAGGAAATAGCCGTCAAAAAAAAAAAAAAAAAGAAAAAAATCCTAGAATTGAAAAACACAAGAAATGAAGAATTCAGTAGAGGGTTTCAAAAGTAGACTTGACCATGTAAAAGAAAGAATCCATAACCTGGAGGATAGGACATTGGAAATTACTCCATTATAGACAAGTAAAAAGAAAAAAATGAGGAAGAGTGAAGAAAGCCTATGGTGATTGTGGGACACAATGGAAAAAAAAAATACCTATAATATAAAAATACCTATAAAACATTATAGGTATTATAGAAGAAGAAAAAGAAGTAAAGAAAATACATTTAAAGCAATAATGGCTGAAAACTTCTGAACCTGGGGAGAGAAATGGACATCCCGATCCATGAGGCCCAGAGGACTCCAAACACGTTGAACCCAAATCCATAATGCTATTTTGCTATCCTGGGTTAAAAAAAAAAAAAAAATCCTTGTCCTAGACCGCAGAGGAGCAGGAATTGCGTGTATAATGTGGTGGTTTTGTGGTTTGGTATGCTTCAGCGTGGAAGTCGCCGTGCAAGGTAGAATATTAAAGGTAGCATCGCCGTTCACATGTGTAATGGAAACGAACGTTTCTCTTTAGCAGGGTCACTTACTCTCCTGACAGTTTTGTCCATCTCCTTTCTCAAAGGCTGGCATTTGGTTCTGAATGCTGTTCTTAGGTGCTGTGTCTTAATGAGAATGCCTAAGACAATGCCTCTGAGTTCTGGAACGGAGAATTGGAAAAGAAAAATTGTCAAGCCATGTGGCTGAGACCAACTCTTACAACTCCATTTGCTGAGAAATAATGTAAAATTATTCACAGGTTTCCTAGATGTGAGGTTAAATGTCGACCCCCACCCCAACATTGTTCTTCACCTGTGAGGCAGGATCTCTGGGAGTATGAGGATGTGGGGGTTTTCCTCAATTCTCTGGGAGCTGAGAGAATGGCCTGACACCCTGTAGTTTCTGTCAATGAGGAGCCACGTGGATGCTGTTAACTGTCCTGGAATTCGCCTTTTAGTTCATTGATCCTACCTCTGACTGGTTTAGAGATTGCTGTCTTGGCTGGAGGGCTGAGATGACACATTTACTACCAGGAGAGACACCTGGCCCTCTTTGGGTGCAAATGCCACTAAGCAAATCGAGGAGGTAAAATCCACTGTTTTCTTTTTATTTCTCTTGGAGCCTGTCGGTCACCTCTTGTAATGGCAGCTCTAGTAGGTTTCATTTGCCTTTGTCAGGATATGGTGCTGCTTTTCGCAGGCAGCCCCTTGGATAACACCCTTCCTGGGAGCATGAAAAATGGTACCTGTCAGGGACCACCCAGTAATCTTTAGCCCTGGGTCTGATCAAGGCTGTTTGCCAGCTAGGTCAGGGTGCCCCCAGAGAGCTCGAGCTCTTCTGTGAGAAGCACACTGCGCCTACTGAGCCTTTCCCTCCTGAGTTACTGTGGCTCAGAATCAGCTCAAGCAGCTCTCCAGGTGGCTAGTCTCCTTTTTTGGGTAAACTCTTGTCTTTGGCAGCTTTCTCCCCAAGCACCCTTCCAAATATGCCCACTCTTCTTGCCTTCCTTGAGATTGTTGGTCATCTCTGGGCTGTTTTGACTGTATTAAATCATCTGTGAAATTCAGCCCTGTGCTGCTAGCCGATTGGCCAGTGCAGCAGTCTGGGTCCGTGCATGGGGATCCAGGAACACAATGTGCCATCCGATATTTCACAGCAGCTTCTCCTTGAAGCTTCGGTAGCTGTGTGTAAGCGGCCGACCGCACGGGGCTCAGTCCGCTGCGAGCCTTTTACAAACCAGTGTCTTACTTCGCAAAGGACGATCGCAGCGGCATCTCTGTGAACCTTGGTTGTGTCCCTTTATCCATTGGATGGGACACTTCCTCGCCAGGTGTGCATGGAGCGCTTACTCTGAAATACAGTGGGCCAGGCCTGCCAGGGCTATGTAGGTTGGACACAGCTTCTCCCTGGGGAGGCTTCCTCCGGAGGAGAAAGTGGAGTGCTAAGATGGACCGTTGGTCAAGCTCCATTTGAGGGGATTTGCTTAATCCTCATCTACACTCAAGAGATTTAATATTTTCGCCATTTTTGCAGAGGAGGAAACAGGCTCAAAATAACTAAAGAGCTTGCCAGAGCTCCTAGTCATGACAAAGTGAAGACGCAACAGTATGTTACTGACCTCCACACTCCCCGTTGGGTCCAGTAAAGTAGTTCCCAGACTGTACCATGGAGCACTAGTGTTCCAAAATCTCTTGATAGGTGTTCCGGGAAAAAGGCGTCTGGGGTCAAATCAGCTTGGGAAATGAGGGAGGACTCTGTTCTTACTCTTGCCACCCCTGGTGATACCCAGGGCGCGCTAGCAGTATGGCCCATGAGCAGAGCGAGCGCTCTGAGAAGGTCTGCCGTAAAGAAACAGCTTTAAATGTCCGAATGCAGAGCCCAGAAATCTAGCAGAATGCCTGGTGATTCTTAGCATGCTGAAGTTGGAAGGCCACTACTTTTGATTCACTCGCATTATTTCAGTGATACCAGTTAACTATAGCCTAGGAAATCCTCCAAGGAGAGGTAGTAGAGTCTGCCTTTGGACTACAAAAACCTGCATTAAGTGTCAGCTGTGAACACCCCAGTGCTCCAGTGTTTTAGGAACTGTCACTTTTAGAAAGCTGTTGTTCGCTAAATACTACGGTGTTTAGTTCTTAGAGCTAAAGAAAAATAAAAACTAAGTAATTAAGAATGAAAGTGAAAATATAGTATGATTTTATATACTGACTTTGTATACAGATTTTATATACTGTAATCAATATAGTACATATATACGTACATAAAGGCTTTGGAGCCAAAGGAAAATAAACCAAATGTAATGGTATCTGTAGCTTTTGACATGATCAGTGACTTGAGGGCTTTTTTCTTTATATTTTTCTGAATTTATACATTTTTTTTTTAAGATTTTATTCATTTGACTCAGAGAATGAGCTGGGGCGGGGAAGGGGCAGAGGGAGAGGGAAGCCTGATTCGGGGCTCGATCCCAGGACCCTGAGATCATGACCTGAGCCAAAGGCAGACGCTTAACCGACTGAGCCACCCAGGCATCCCCTGAATTTATATATCTTAAATTAATGTGTGTAACTTTTATAATTAAAAACAGACAACAAAAGTTAACTACTTAAGTTTGTGTCTTAAAAAAAGAAACCTGCCCAACTGTGTTTATTTCAACATTTTTGAAACTTATTTTTATCACAGATCCTTTTTAGTATCTTACAAAGCATCCACTAACAATGCTCAGAGCTTGGCTACAGGCTGTTATATAATCTTCACCCATCCAGAAGTTGAGCCTTAACCTAACCATGTTTAGCTTTGCTTTGCAATAAAAAGAGAAAGTATTTCTCTTCTGTGTGTGTTCATGGCTTCCCCCCTTTGCTTACCCCTTACCAGCTTCCCCCTGGGATAGTGGGAGGCCAGAAGTATTCCGCAAAGTAGAAACCATCCACACTAGATGCATGGAAGAGTGTGTGTGTGTGTGTGTGTGTGAGTGAGTGAGTGAGAGAGAGTGAGAGGAGGAGGATGAAGTCAGAAGATGAGGAAGTAAGCAAAGACGGGTCTCTTCTCTTGAAAAGGGTCATTCATACCACGCACACACTGAACATGTCCAGTGTTGGATTTAAAAGCCTTAGCGCAATGTGAAGCAAACATGTTTCAGTAATTCACAAGCCTGGGGAGGTAGTCTGTGCCCTTGTGTGTTTATCTTCCTGTGAGTATTCTTAATGAAGTTTTTCCCCACCTTTGTCATCAAGGGAGTTACATATACAGTAAAATCTGGTCTGTTGTTTCTCATACATTTAAACAAGGGTTTCAAACAGCTTGACTATTTTTTTTTTTCATCTCAGCTCATTTCAACTTCTCAAGTTGTCTTATGTAACAGAGTTACCTGGCGTGGGAAAAACTAAGTTCATTTGACTCTTTAAGAAGTAACTGTATGTCTTACATATTATTTTTGTTTTCTTTTCAGAGATTTATGGAGAATAGCAGCATAATTGCTTGCTATAACGAACTGATTCAAATAGAACACGGGGAAGTTCGCTCTCAGTTCAAATTACGGTATGTAACAAAATAAGAAGGAGTGCGAGGTTAACAGTGTTGTACAGATGTTTTTGTCATGAGGCCGCTGTTCACGGGTTCCTAGCTGAATCCCAGGGGTTTCTAAACTGTTAAGTAGGTGATGGTAGCTGGTAAACAGCAGATTCTAAACGGGGAGCCTTCTGCTTAAATGAAATAAATGAAAAATCATTTCTTGTTTTGACAATATTTTCCACTATGTACGGCAGTTTTAAAATTAGATTTGAGGAAAAATACTGTATGATTTTCATATACTTAAATTGAGGTTAAGAGTAGCCTTTGAGGATTACTTTCTATCTAATACTTTAACACTTATAAATGCCTGCTTGGATTGTTATGAATAGGGGCAAACCAATGGGTATATTTATTATGCTAGCCATGAGAACTGCTCTGTAACCATGATAGCAGTTTCAGGAAGTCTGTGACTTCAGTATGCAAGGACATATGTTCAAGAAATCTTACATCTCTTTACAGGCATATAGTGCTTTAAAAGCAGGCTTTTCATGAAGCTCACCTCTGAGCTGGGATTCTCTGTAGATGTCTAGCTGTTGGCGGGATGTTCTGCTTTGGGGACGTCTCGGGATATGAGGGCCCTAGCTCATCCCTGGTTTTGCACAGGCTCCACTCTACCACATTCCCAGACCCCGATTTCTTCAACCTGTCCCCCTCGAGTAGAGAGAGAAGGGCAGAGAGGAGGCTCTTGCCAACCTATAGCCTGGGGGCGGGGGGTGCGAGGGGCGCTGCCGTCCTTAGCAGCTCCAGGCTGTTGGATACCAGAACGTCCTTGGCACAGCTTCTCTCTCTGGCCAACCCAGAGGTCATGATGGTTTCAGGCTCAGTGAAAAATAAGATAGCATCTCAGTGTAAGGATTATGCTTATCTTGATTACTTAATTTGCATTCAAAGAGGACAAAACCATTTATAAACTTAATTTCTTTCTGACATCCTTGGAAGTAAAATGGATTGACGTAAACCCACAAAGGCAGGTTTTTGGGGGTTTACCCTGATTAGGGAAGTAACTTTTTGGTGGACAGAGAGCTTTAAGAAAGAGTGTCGGGAGGGATGTCTGGATGGCTCAATCAGTTAAACTCTCTGCCCTCTGCTCAGATCATGATCTCAGGGTCCTGGGATTGAGCCCTACATCAGGCTCCTTGCTCGGCGGGGAGTCTGCTTTTACTTTGCCCTCTGCCCTTACCTCCCCTGCTTGTGCTCTCTCTTTCTTTCTCTCTCAAATAAATAAATAAAATCTTAAAAAAAAAAAAAACAGTATGGGGATAAATAGTCACTTTCTTAGGTGGGAAAGTATTTTTTTAAAAAGTCAAACTAGTGGAAATTCAGGTATTTTAACAGTGTATAGTGAGGAATATTGCTAAGGAGTTTTGAATATATAAGTTTAAAGCCCTTGGTTTCTTTGTATCTTTGTATTTATCAGCTTCAGAGAACTTCATAAAATTTTTTGAGAAAACTCATTGCCTTTACTTCAGCAATTTCTGTTTATTGTACATTCTTTTTATTCCTTGGGGTCTCTACTGTTTTTCATTGGGGATAAAAAGATTGTACTTTTAGATGTTTTCAAAATAGAATTAGAAAAACAGGGGTTTCATTTTGTTTTAATTCTTCAGCTGTGTATTATCTACAACAGAAATGAACAGCAGTCCCCTTACTGCGTTGGTAGGTAATTCCCTCATGGCATTTTAAGTAACTGCATTTTGAATTCTCTTCAGCAACCTCGCATGTGATGGCATGTGTAGGAAGTCAGAAGGTGCCTTGTCCACACAGGGCAAAGGCAGGTCTGGCGATCCGAAATAAACGTTCTCAGCCAGTGTGAGGGTTAAAAGAAAGGGCTTCCCGTTATTGTGCTGATGAAATTTGCTTAGAGCCAGGGCACTGACCACTTACAAAGGTCTCATCAGGTTCAGAACTTGGCAAGCTTCTAAGTACATAGCACGATGCAGATCTTAGAACTTCTCACCCTTCACTGACTGGAGCTGGTTGGAGAGGTCATAATGAAAAGGCTCAAGTTAGTAATAGAAATCAATGTGCAGTTGGTGAGTGGACTTGACCCAGGCAGGCAGTGGGGCCAGGAGGCTGGCTTTGCCCCGTGTGCGGATCCCTTTCCACAGCAGCTTCAGGTTGGCTGGTAAAGAGTCTCTCTTCCCAGGCACGAGCAGCCAGCATGAGAACAGCCCCATGGTGGGGAGAGGAAAGCAAGAGTTCTTCACAGAAGGCCAGAGAAGGACTAAGCAGTCAGTTTCTTCCATTGCTTTTTGGCTGGTTCTGCCTCAAGCATCTCTAGCTTCCTTCCCTTTTTTGGAGAAGGGTATGTGGGCCTGGTTTGACCCTTCCTGCATACCCTCTATCTGGGCCCCTCAGTCGGGGGGTAATGACCCATTCCGTGATCTCCCCAGCTCCTTCCGCATCCGAGGACATCTAAAGAACCCACCTGCATCTCAGAGTCAGGCAGGCCACTCTGTCACTTGCTGCCGATGGGGAAAATGAGGCTCTTTATTATACAATGCCAGAATAATTATAGTCTAATTATATAATACTTTTCTTTGCAATTCCTCCCCCAGCTGCAGCTAAATATGTGACATTACCAGCATTCTTCAAGGACAGGCTGTACCACAAGGGTGATGTCAAATGTTGAAGGTAGAAACTTTTGTCCAGGTCTTGGTTTGTGGTAACGAAATTTAACCAAGACAAAAGAAGGATCATGTGCTCAAGCAAATACTGAATTTTAAAATTCCATGATAAAGAATAACTTCTAAAGAGAAGAAAATCTTATGTGTGCTGGATGAATTACTATATTAATCATGAAATGGGGACTGTCTGGGGAAATATGGGGTAAATTATGACCACTTACCTCTACTAATGTTTTCTCTCTTTATCATGAAAAGGGCTGTGTTAACCAAAATGCAGATAAGATTTAGCTACTTACTGGGAACTTAAACTGATCGGTTGATACTAACGCGGACCAGCTGTTATTTCATATCAGTTTGATATCTGTTAGCCAGGACGTAGACTCAAATCATCAGGTTTAGTTTACTCCTAGTCTTAAGACTGTAGCAGTCCTAAGTTTCAGCAAGAGAATCTAAGTGTCTGAGGGACAAAACTTTGTATTCCACGGAATGCTACCCTTCTCATTATCCGTAGACATTTCTAGAGCGCCTTTTCCTGGCATGGACCCTGGTGGCAGGGATAATGCCACCCGACCATCCCAGCCCCAATATTGGGACAGAGGAAAACACTGAGAGCCAGGGAGACTCTTGACAGGATCACAGCTACCCAGTATATCAGTGGCAGTGTGGGGGAGGATCCAGGCATCCTGCTGTTTGTTTGGAGACACTCGGCACCCCGTCACAGCATGATGTTCTTTGTAGACGTCACACCAGGGCCCCTGTAATATTTGCCGTGTCCGTTGGGACTTTCAAGGGCCCTTACGAAGGTGAGGGGTCGTGGTTCCATGGCCTGCACTTCATGGGTTTCCACATCGAGTTTACCTTGCCTTTGAGCTGTTTCCGATTTTGCAACTTCTCAAGCTGAAAGATACAAAAATAGATCCGAGGCACAGTTACATAGTTCCTGAGAACATAAAATGAATACAGCTAAGGCTCTTCTGCATGAAGACTATTAATAATTAATACAAGCAATTAAATTTCCAAACTCTAGGAGCATGATTTAAATTGATTACCTCATTTTGCCGCAGGTTTATTTAAATAGAACCATCAACCAAATTGGTTTAAAGCCTAGGTCTGAACAGTGCCATGCAGCCTGTCACTGGGAGAGAACAGCCTGCTGGCCCTGCTCATGTTCTCCTCCCTCGACGGTTGGTACGAATTTGTCTTGTTCTGTCGGGCATTACACGGAAGGTTTTATGCTTTGTGGATCATCACACAGTGAATATTGCATAGATAAATTTCGGCAGCTGGAGCTAAGGTCTTACATCAGGGCAGCTCTCGAATTGACAAAAACACTAATAGGCTGAAGGACCCATTTAAATGCTTAGGTGAGACGTACAGGCACTTTCAGAAAATGGGCAGGAGAGGAATTTATCACTTGATAAAGTGTGTTATTGCTTAATTATCCAGCTCTCAAATGTAAGGATTAGTCCACACAGAGTGTGCGTTTCCACATGGGACCCCTGGAGATCAGGATACCCTTTCCTGTGCTGCCAGGCCGGGTTCTGGACCCACGTGCCTAGAAAATACTACTGATGGGACTAGCTCTTGCTTGCCTCTTCGTGAAAGGTAGTGTAGTAGTGACTTTGGTAAGAATTTTAAAACCTCTTTTATTCTTTTTCTAATATTAAATGATCTTGTTTACAAATGCAGTGACGGTATTAAGACAGTTCATGGTTCAAGTTAGTTAGACCGAAGCTATTGAAATAAGGAAACCTGTTGCATCTATCAGGGATCTCAGAGGAGTTAGACTTACCTTGTGCTCAGCTCACCCCATCGTTGATTACTTAGTTACCTGCCCACACTGGTACCTTCATCCCTGCAGCTACGGGAACCGTACCCTTCAAGAGACTAAGATCTTGTACTCCTCCTGCGGATTACCTTGCTAATATTGAATACAGTTTTTGATTAGATATTTCAGGGATACTCATGAGAAAAGATAGGTTATGGTTCACTTTTCTTTTTACCACTGGCCGTTGAAAGGGTTAGAGAGTAAGGAAATACTGCCCTGGGAGCTTACAAATAATACTAAGGACTATATGCTGAATTCTTACAGTATCCGAAGCACTTTGAGAAATGCCTCACATAAACTCTTTTGATGTTTACAGCAACCTGTAAAATGGGTGTTGTTATTCTCATTTTGTAGACGAGGAAGCTGGGGACCAGCCAGGATAAAAAGTTGCTCAGGGTCCCATAACTGGCAAAATACAGAACCAGACTTGACTCAGTTTTTTTCTGCCCTCTCCCTTGTCAGTAGTTTAAAACAGGATGGCAAAGTTAGATGCCTTTATGAGTGGAAAAAATGAATAACATCTTAAGATATGTTTTATAAGAAGCAGCATCAAAAGTAAACCTGTGTTTTTGGTTTTTTTGTTTTTGTTTTTGTAATGGGTAAGAAAGCCCTCACTGGGATTCTTTAAACAGCCTGTACAAATAACAAAGCTCTAGTAACTAGCTACATACTTTCTGTGTTAGGTAGTAAATAACTTGCTGTATTTGGAGTTGCACTAGATTAGAAGGTACTTAAAATTCTAACCAAGAAACTAGAAGTTGAAATGATGTAGAATTTTCCACTCGGACAAGAAGGGTCACCAAGAAAAGTGCCTACCTGGAGGGCGTGTGATTAACCAGGCAAGGGGAATTCTGCCATATCTACCTTCCATCATGCCAGTGGGTGGGGTTGAAAGCAAAGTACCATATAAAGGCTTGTTTATCAGAGATGATGAAAGTAAGAAAGGAGGAAAAAATGTTTCTGTGTCTGTTGCAAAAGGACAGACAGAATACCTCAGATTCAATTTGGGCTTAATTGAGTTCTCCTAATTGCTGGGGTCTTGACTTTTCCATGACCACACTAGGAATGAAACAGAACAGTGTTAACATAGACTCAGGAGACTTAGAAGATGGTCTCCTGCAACTTGGTTCTCTTTTGTCAGTATTAAGGTTTCATTTGGCACCTAGGTGATTCATTCCATGATACATGAAGAGTTGGCGGGATTATAGTTCTTTGTGTTTTAGTCACAGAAATATATGCTGTTGTTTATTCAAACTAACTAGTTTAGTTTGAAAGGCTAGGGTGTTTATTTTCCTTCCAAAAGGGCATGGTTTTAATGAATTTGGGGCAACTGTTCACTTGGGTAAATTAACACATGAAATGCTAATGGTTTTATAGCTGCACTAAAGTCAATCTTTTGCAACTTACAGGGCCTGTAATTCAGTGTTTACAGCATTAGACCACTGTCACGAAGCCATAGAAATTACAAGCGATGACCATGTGATTCAGGTATGGAGACACTTTTTATCTGGAGATGTCTAAATAGAACCTTTCAAGTTTGAGCCATCCTTTTTCAAGGGACTTTGCAATAAGCCTTACATTTTTGTATATTTTCTTTGGAGAAAGAAGCATCAAAGTATGTTAAAAAAAAAAACAACTGATGGACTTAGTTTAAGAATTAGATATCCAATAAGAATAAAAAATTAGTTAGATTAGAACCTGTGATTTCTTTGACCAAGATAGGTGAAATTCTTTGACCATTTGTAAGGACAGCATTTACATGACACAGAAGTATGTCAGAATTATAGAGTAAATGCTTACTTATAAGGGGGGGTGCCTATGGGAATGAAATATTTCAGAGGTACTCATTTATTTGCCTACAGTTGGTATTATAATCATAGAGCTGTCTTGTATGGTAAAGTTATCTTCTGAAGAAAATGGGTATAGTAGACAAACCTTTACTGCAGTAAAGTCATCTTACTATATTCGTTGGAAGGTAAGACATTTACACTTAAACAATATTCTGAAATGTAGACTTTACCATCGGTAGATAGCAGCCTGCCTGCAGTTGGTTTGCGTAATGGCACTGAGTTTACACCTGGAGCAATTCCAGTCCTCCATAGAAACCAAAGGCCGTGCCCCACGACAGAGCCCCCCCCACTGCACACAGACAAACCCTGCTCTCGTACCCAACCAGTAACAGCAGCAGCCTGCCCTGCCTAGGCCCCGTCATAAACAGGTCCATAACGTTACCTCCCTTCCATTCAGTAACTCCGTGAAAGAGAGTGCCCCATAATACAGATGGGGAAACTGAGGCCCAGCAAGGTCAAGGAATTTACTCAAGGAAAGCCCCAGTAGGAAGTATTGGAACCAAAATACGTAGCCATGTCTTTCTGACTGCAGAACCTGCCTTCCTGGTTCCCTGTTGGACTGTCTTTATAGAATTTTCTGGCTGTTCCGTGAAGTGGGTCTGGAAGCTTCTTCATGTTGCTACCTGTTACTGCCCACCTGCACACAGATCTGTATCCTGGACGGCAGAGAAACCAGACGTGTTTGCTACCAACCGAGTACACATCTCGCATTCCCCTCACTTACATCCAGACAGGACCGATGAATTCCATTCATGAAACACGTTTGCTTTGCACCCACCTCTGACAGTGGGCAGCCAGGTTGTGATTTCCATGATGAGTGGAAGGGGCTCCCTGCTCTCGCTGCCTTCCCCGTTGGTAGTCTAACTGATGACTCCTTGAACAGGGAACAGAGCCCGTCAGTCCATAGCGAGCGTTCTAAAGTGGTCAGAAACCCTGTGTCTCTGGGGGAGGTACTGTGGTGGTGCCATCCCCTCCCCACCTTTACGGTGAACAGGAAGAAAGGGACTACCCCCTTTAAAATCTACTGGTGATCTGAATATAAAACTCAAAAGCAAGGAGAAAGAAGTTGAAGAGAGGGTGTTCTGTGTAAGAGGAAGTAAAATGACATCCGGGTTATGGATTTCAAGAGGAGTCCTCCTGGACAGGATATTTCACGAACGTTCTTGCTCCATACCAGAGTCCTTCTCAGGGCACGGCCCCTGAAGAGTGTGTGCCTAGGGGGTAGCACTTAACTTCAGGAACAATCTTACCTATTCATCCCTCCATCTAAACTATTTACTTGACGATGTTTACACGAAGCTGACCATGTGCCAGGCACAGTCCTCACTCAGTATTGTAGATATTCTTATTTCTTTCTTAAAACCATTTTATGAACCAGGCACTACTGTTGCAGCCATTTTACAGATGAGGAAACTGAGAACCAGAGAAGACAAGTTACTTGCCCACAGTCACGGAGCTGGTAATTGGCAGAGCCAGGATTTGCACTTGAGCTCATTGGCTCCAGAGTCAAGGTCCTAGAGGACCTGCTGTGTTCTGAGGTTACAGCAACCCTATCATGAGCAAAGAGCCCTGACTCCCCCTATGTTTTCAATTTAATAGCGAGGGTAGACTAAACAGACAGGAAAAGGTATGAGGATTTAGCCAACGAGTAAAACAGTACATACATCACGTACTTACTAAACAGCTCTGAGTATCCAGGGATAAATCCAAAGTAGGCTTGCCCTTGAGGATTTTTACGTCTAGTCGGGGAGAGAGATAAATAAAAACTGGGATTGGGCATGAGAAGTCACTGGAAGCCTGCACAGGAGAGAGTGGGAGCTTGTAGAAGTGGTACCAGCTCAGACTAGGCAGGGGGTCAAGGATGGCTTGCTAGAGGAGGGGAGGGACAAATCAGACTTGGCAAGGCATGGAGATGGGCAAGGGCATTGTAAGTGGAGAGCATGTGGGCAGAGGCCCCGAGGTGAGAGGCCATGCTGCCCAGCCCCAGAAGGGTGGTGCCCACCACATGTAGGTGATGGGAGAAGAAGGCATGAAGACAATGTCACCACCCCTCCTCTTCTATCAATCACTCCTACAAGGCTGCCTGCTAAGGCTCCAAAGCAACCTCCTAGCCACTCCAGCTCCTGGATTTCATGGTGTCAGTAAAGCTTTGTTCTCAAGGGACTAGCTCCCCGAGTGTCCCTGCATCACCGGGCTCCTTACTGCTGTCCTTGGAGTGGAGTGCAGAAGTGACCATGATTACGGTTTGCAAGAATGTGTCTGAAGCAGCAGGTGGATGTGCATGATGCCCAAAGAAATCCATGACCTAGAGGCCATATGGTCCCATTTTCCCCATGTTCTTTGTCTCGTTCCCCTCATTCAGCTTCTCATCCGGTGATTATTCTTTGAGAAGAAATTGGAGCCTGGAGTTGGGAGTTGGGAGTCAGGCAAGGAAAGAGCTCTGAATTCCAGGGCCCCGGGCAGAATTTTGGAAAGAAACCTGTTAGTCTGCTGACATCGGAATGTGCTAAGGGTGCCTCGTCTCACGCCCATGTGTGCCCAGCGCTGAAAGGGCTGCTTTCTGCCCAAACTATTTAATTAGATTTATTGTTCAGATGAGCTGGGAAGTGGCCCCAAGCCATAGTGTTGGTTAGTAGACAGTGGCAATTAGGAGGCATGAGAGAGCAAATCTCGGCCTTGCAGAGGTGTGACTAAAATAAACCCACAACCTGTTGAACTAAGTAACTTTTGTTCTAACTCATTTTTATTTTTTGAGTTTTTTATTTCATAAAAAACTTCATTTCACTGAAGATGAATAAGGCCCACACGAAGCTGGCTCTGCTAGATGAGGGCTTCTTGCTCTTGGTCTGCTAAGGAATTTCTTCCAGTGTCCCAGAGGGAACCAGGGTGCTGACGTGCTGAATGAATACTTAGCTGCTCAGGAGTGAGGCAGCTGCTCTGGGGGGCGTAGTGATGAGGACCAGTTGCACCCACATCAGAGAGTGCTCATCCAGGGAACTTCTTACTTGATAGTCCAGTGTGTCCCTCTGTGTGCCAGCAAGCCTTCCTGGGGGCACCCAGCATTACCCGCACTGACCTATAACCACCTCCTGTTCACAGTACGTCAACCCAGCCTTTGAAAGGATGATGGGCTACCACAAAGGCGAGCTGCTGGGGAAAGAGCTCGCCGAGCTGCCCAAAAGTGATAAGAACCGGGCCGACCTTCTCGACACCATCAACACCTGCATCAAGAAGGGCAAGGTCAGTGAAAGAGATCTGCAAACCCCTCCCCGATGCTTTTTTTTTTCCCCCCTGCGAGCTCTATGTCACGTCTTTAAGATGAGCTCCTTTCCTAACAGGATAATTGAGTGAAAGATCTCTTGTATTTGCAAAATGAGTCCATTGTTGGGTTAATTTTGGATACCAAATGAATGTGCTCCTTATGATGCTGTGGAATCTGAGTTTGCAACAGGAGAGTTTATCCTTGGGGTGAAGATATCCCACCTGTCATTGCTGCAGTCTCATTCCTGGCTCTGAGCAGAGTTCCCCCATATAGCTGTCGTGTTGTTAGTGTGCCCAGTGTTCGGGGGACTCGAAGTTTGTAATACCAGTATTTACATATGGGCCCAGTTCTTCGTCAGTTTTCCTTTCTCTGTTCCCTGTCTGCATCATAGCTGGGTAGAGACCTACAGCTTGGTTCTCCCTGTCATGTCCATTTGTCCAGCAGCTGAAGGCAAGGCTGTGAGTGCAACAGGCTCCTTTCCTCAAGCCCTCCTCTGCAGATGAAGGGTGCGGTTCCCACGGTGGGGGCTCCCTGTGCATTTTCTTTTAGGCACTCAGAATGCTTGCTCGTACGACTTCTTTGATCTTGCTTTCTCTGATGTGAAGTAGTTAGATAAGCACTGTATTTTTTTCATTAGGGATCACTTTTTACAAATAAAATAAGTTTGGGTTTATATGATAGGCAACATCAATTTCTTAAAAATAGGGACAGCAAGCCTGAAATGGAATCAGGACATTATCAAGTACTCTAAAAAAAAAAAAAAAAAAAAAAATCGGCCAGGAGAGTACTACCATGCACCTGGCGACCCCAGAATGCACACCAGTTAGCCGCTCTTAGGGCTGGGGGGGCGGCAAGAAAAGGCTGTCGAGAAAATTTGGTTCTTGTTTATTCCCTCCCTCCCAGAACTTGTGGAGGTGCCACAGGATCCCCCTTGAGGGCACAGGCTCTTCATCCCTGCTGGCTCCCCAGGGTCCAGAGGCAGCCAGAATGTTCATACTCCTCTTTGCTCGATCCATGGAAACTGCCAGGAGCCAGACTAATGCCAGAGAAGTCTTGGTAGGATGCCCATAGGAGAGTAGGGGAGGACAGGTTTCAAGGAGAATTAAGAGACAAGAATTTAGAACCACATTCTCCACTTCCTCATGCGGGCAAATTAGACTCTCTGAGCCTTGGCTTACCTGTCTATAAACTAAGGATGATATTATCGAGCTCAGAGGTTGCTGTGAAGATTTTAGGGAAGACCCTGTAAGAATCCCTTGACCTGGGGCTGCTACACCCACAGGCTGAGCGTGGCAACTCCACCTACTCATCAGCTGTCCTTGGACCCTGGGAAGGCCAGCCTGGAGGTGGACACGTTGGCCTTTGGGGACTTGGTGCATGGTGACCGCAGTCTTGGGTAGTAAGCATCACAATGGGTACAGTGATAGAGCAGTATTTAGTGGAATAGTATTGCTCAGCTTGATGAGACCCTCTGTAGAAGCAGCCATAAGCTTCGATGGAAGGATTTTAAGAGCTCTCTTTGTCTATGTAGGAGTGGCAGGGGGTTTACTATGCGAGACGGAAATCCGGGGACAGCATCCAACAGCACGTGAAGATCACCCCGGTGATTGGCCAAGGAGGGTGAGAGTGAACTTCTTGATCTCTTTTAGTTGAAGGGCTCATGTGGGCACTGGGTTTGCATATTGAAATGCCAGTGTAAGTGTTAGGCCCCCAGATACGGTGGGTTAGGGCTGTGCATAGCATATATCGTGGACGATTCCACATGGCTGGCAACAGCCCCCAGACGTGGCTTTCCCTCCCCCTCTCTGCTCCCGTTGATGGGCTTTCCAAAGCATCTCCCCAGCTGCCCACCTTCGCCTGATCATCTGTGGTTCCATTATCCCCACTACCCCTTGAAGGAGCTGTGTTTAGGCCTTCCCCTGTCAAAATAACAACAAAACGACGGGACTCACTGGCCTCAACCCTGCCCTGGGAGCCAGGCTTCTCTCCTTGAGGCACTGGCTCTGTAGTGGTTCTCTCCGGGCTGGCTCTGGGCTTGTTCCCCAAGGCCGAGAGAGCCCTGGAGGTCATGGTTACACAGAGAAAGGTGTGTTTGATTAGAACCTAAGGTGATCTGATTTCATTTAATCTCAGATTATCAGAGAAGACTATTCAAGAAGGTAAATACGTAATCTCTTTTCCTTCTCCCAGTTCAATTTTGTGAGAGGGTTTACAAAGGCAAAGAGGGTCCCCAAACAGTATGTCACTGAGGAGCCTTTAGTAAACTGGCCTGAAGGTCAACACTAGTTTCATAGCACAGTTTACAACAGACACATGCTGTCCTGTGATGTTTTGGAAGAAGAGGTATGAGTTTTTCAGGCCAGTAACCGGAAGTGGAAAGTCCTGCCTGTGACTCTTAGGACTACCTGAGTTCCTTTCAAATTGTTGGGTGGTTAGAAAACAAAACATTCTGTAAAGTGAGCAAAATGCCTGGAAGTCATTTCCTCTCCAATTTTACTTGTTTGGTAAGTTTTGAAATTGTTACCCCTCAGTTCAGAGACCACTGTCTTGTATTTCCTGGCATTTAGCTTCCCTCTGGGTGGTGGGGCCCTGGCAGGCCTGACAACGGTTATGAGCACAGAGAGAGGCCTCCCGGCCCCCTTGGCATGGCCATTTCCACCAGCGGTCCGTGCTCAGAGGCCATGATGGCTGTCACATTGGTGGTATTATCATCCTTAGACCGTCTTTTCAGAGAACTTGAGCTAAGATGGAGTGTGTGTGAGTGTGTGTGTGTGTGTGTGTGTGTGTGTGTGACCAGAATTCTTAGGTAACCAAAGACGAAGAGACCCTATTGCTTGGAATTTCTGTCAGAATGAGTTTTTCTGATCTTTCTGATTTTACAGATAAGAGAGTTCTTTTGTCTAGACGCAGTGCTATTTTTCCCCGAGGTGTAGGCAGTATACTATCAGGAAATTCTTATGAAAAGTAGGTAAATCTCTCCTCTTCCCGATTAGTGAAGCTCATTACAGAATAACCGGTATTTTCTATGCTCTCTTCAGGGTCTTCTAGAGAAAGTTGAATCAAAGGAAGAGAGACAAGAGATTCTTTCCTATTCCTATAAAATCTCACATAGCCCCCTGGAATTCCTGGTTCCACTGTCAGTAGAAAAATCTACCTTGAACTGATTTTTGTGCCGGGCTGAGGCAGCTATAGTCTCTTTCTGGTCTCCCTTGTGGTCATGAGCTAGACTGTAGGCTGTCTGGGGATTCTGTCCATAACCTTGAATTAAGACGAGTTTTCTCTGCCTGAAAAATGGCATCATTGTGATGACCATGCTGTGAAAGAATATGGAATATTAATGTAAACACAACGGCCATGTAATTTGGTCATTGTCCAAATGAGTCTTCTGCTTTTTGTATCAGCTGTAAAATTATTAGTGTCAGTGGAATTAAAACCAATTTTGTCTGGAGTAGCATTTCATCCTATCACTGAAGATGCCTAGGAGACAAGCTTCAGGAGTCTGTTGCAAGATGAAATACCCATTAGGAAAGTGCTTCTGAGCCAAATGTGACTAAAAGGGAAGCCCGGTTTCTGAAGGCATGTGTGGGCTCTGTATGAAAAATGGGTTTTCCTTAGACTACGTTTTGTTTGAAATTTAAATCTGCCCTAGAATGGACCCTGGGGTTTTGCTTTAAGAAATTCTGTTGTTGTTTTCATTTGCTGATTTGTTGAATCATCTCCTATCTGACTCACTAATAACTGATCATTTATGTTATTAGGAAAATTAGGCATTTTGTCTCCCTCAAGAAACTGTGTTGTACCACTGACAATAATAAGCAGGTACGGTATTCAGTTTCCTTCCTTCGCTTTGTCAGCTTGACCACGCATTACGTTCTCACCATTGTTTTCTGCTTGTCTTTCTCCATAGCTTACTGTAGTTGTCAGTTTAGGAGGTTTATGGCAAAATTAGGCTCCTTTAACAAATAGTTAAAAAAAAAAATCCCTACAAGCTTCTACTTTATTAGTAATGCACATCAGTTATGATTTAGCTTGTGGCCATGCAACTAAAGAATAATATATTAGAGCATAAAATTCTTCTTCCAAATAACTATTTTTTCCATCTTAATTTCTTAAATGAATGAAAAGCGTGTATCTATTTGAGCATTTCACTCCTACAAATTCTTATCAAAAACAGTCGTTCCAAATTAGTAAAAATTAGTACTATGAGCACTATTTGTTTTTACCATTTACATCATGTAGAACAATATATTAGAATCTTGTTTTCAGAGTAACAGAATTTTAATAAGTTGCTATGGTGAAGAACATTTAAAGATAGTTTTATCATAGAGAGCAATGCTGATATTTTCTTTTTTAATTATACTTTTAATACTGGATTATGTGTATTTTCATGCTTTAAAGTTTATTGGTTAAAAGGTACTGAAGTAATTATCAGTGATCTATGTTTGAAAACGCAAGTATGACCTTTGATGTATATGGAGATTTTAAAAGAAGGGATAATATCTTAAAAGGATATGAAGGTCTTTGGGGCATAATACATTTTAGGGGAGCATATCGGGGAGTTGGAGAGTGTGGGATTAGATGGTGGAGGCTGGCCAGGCAAGGAGAGGAACTGCTGGGTGATAGGACCAGTGGACGCCTGGGTTCCCCCACCTTGAGTAGGCAGCTTCCAGAGGGGAGGCGGGCCTGGGTGCCGTGAGCCTGTGCAGGACGTTCAGCTTGTGTCTCAGTCCATCGAAGATACCCGTGCCTCATCCTTTTTTTTTTTTAAATAATGACTCAATACTTGTATATATTGCAAAATTATCACTACAGTAAGTCAAGTTAACATGCATCACTAGACATAAAATTTTTTCTTATAACGAGATCTTCTTTTGAGACCTATTCTCTTGGCAACTTTCAAATTTACATTACAGTGTTAACGAGTCACTGTGCTGTACATTATATCCCCATGACTTATATGTTTTATAAGTGGAAATCTGTACTTTTGATCCCCTTCACCCATTTCCCGCCCCACTCCTCTGCCCCCAGCCCGCCTCTTGCAACCAACCTGTTCTCTGTATCTATATGATTGGTTTTTTGTTTCTGGTCTCAATTGTACATGTAAGTGATACCATATAGTATTTGTCTTCCTTCATCTATCTTATTTCACTTAGCATAATGACCTCAAGGTCCATCCATGTTGTCACACATAGCAAGATTTCCTTCTTTCTCATGGCTGAATAATGCTCCATTGTATGTATTTTCCACATTTTCTTTGTCCATTCATCCATCAGTGGACACTTAGGTTGTTTCTGGGTCTTGGCTGTTGTAAACCATGCTGCCATGAACCTAGGAATATTCGTATATATCTTCTTGGGTTAGTGTTTTCCTTTCCTTTGGATAAATGTCCAGGAGTAAATTGCTAGAATATATGGTAATTCCATTTTAAATTTTTTGAGGAAGCTGCACCGTGCTGTGTCGGTATACATTCCCACCAACAGGGCATGAGGGTTCCCTTTTCTCCGTCTCTTAGCCAGCACGTTTCATTTCATAGCTTTTTGATAGCAGCCAATCTAACAGAGGTGAGTTGATTCCTCGTTGTGACTGATTTGCATCGTCCTGATGACTAGTGATGTTGAGCCTTTTTGCATGTACCTGTTGGCCATCTTTATGTCTTCTTTGAAAAACTGTCTATTTAGGGCGCCTGGGTGGCTCAGTTGGTTAAGCAACTGCCTTCGGCTCAGGTCATGATCCTGGAGTCCCGGGATCGAGTCCCGCATCGGGCTCCCTGCTCGGCGGGGGGTCTGCTTCTCCCTCTGACCCTCCCCCCTCTCATGTACTCTCTCTCATTCTCGCTCTCTCAAATAAATAAATAAATCTTAAAAAAAAAAAACTGTCTATTTAGATCTTCTGCCAATTTTTAAGCCAGATTTTTTTTTGTTTTGCTATTGAGTTGTAGGAGATCTTTATATATTTTGGATATTAACCCCTAACCTGATATGATTTGCTAGTATTTTCTCCCATTTGGTAGGTTGCCCTTTTATTTTGTTGACAGTCTCCATTGCTGTGCAGAAGCTTTTTAGTTTGATGGTAGTCTCAATTATTTATTTTTCTTTTGTTGCATTTGCTTTTGGTGTCATACCTGAAAAATCATAGCCAAGACTGATGTCAAAGAGCTTAAGCCCTGTGTTTCCTTCTAGGCGTTTTATTGTTTCAGATAATATATATGTTCAAATATTTCATCCACTTTGAGTTGATTTTTTCTGTATGGTCTAAGATAATGGGCCGCTTTCATTCTTTTGCATGTGGCGGTTAAGTTTTCCCAGTACCATTTATTGAACACATTATACCTTCCCCATTGTATATTGTTGGCTTGTCATAAATTAATTGACCACATATATGTGGGTTTATTTCTGGGCTCTCTATTCTGTTCCATTGATCTGTGTGTCTGTTTTTATGCCAACACCATACCGTTGGGATTACCATAGCTTTGTGATGTAGCTTGAAATCAGGGAGCATGATGCCTCCAGCTTTGTTCTTCTTTCTCAAGATTGATTTGGCTATTCACAGTATTCTAGAACAGCGAAGGGAATCGTGCTTTTTCTTAAGATTTAGTCCAACATAAAATGCCTCTTTCAACACTGAGAATTTCATTGAGAATCAGGAAGCTTTCACTTAATATCATCGTCACATAGAAAGGCAAGTCCTTGGGGACCTCTGGGAAAGGAAGGGACTTGACTTTCATAGAAAAATAAATTCTGCCAGCAGCAAAGTTGACACATTCCAGGAGGAAGGATGAGGTCTACGTGGGAGGTGACATGGGTAGAGGGAGAGGTGTAGGGCATCCTGGTGGCTCTTTAGAGACAAGCTACTGAACCCAAGCCAGCGCATGTCAACCTGTGACGGGTGGTGAAGCTGCTGTACAGTATGCAGGCCCACCTGGGCTCATTCACGCTCATGCCAGGCATGAGCCAAGTACAGTTCACATCCAAAATCAAGCACAGCCTTCCCCTACCAACATAGGCTTGCTCCTCCTCCTTCCTCTCTTTATCGGTCAGTTGGACCCCCAGTCTCCTTACCACCAGTCTCCCTGCAAGCACGTGTGCCCCAATTCTACTCATCCTTCGTGGTCCCTCCCGTGCAGTGTTGAGTGCCATCCCCATCCTCAAACCCCCACGTACCTTCTTTGCTGGGTATCACCCCCACCGTTACCACGGCCATTTGTGTGCCTAACTGCCCTCTCCTCTCCGGTGGGGTCACCAGTCTGTGCTTGTCTCAGTGAGCCCATCCTGCCCCGGGGCAGAGTAGGTCCTGCAGCTGTGGGTCAGCTTGAATGGAATTGCATGTCAAGGTCCTGGCTTCCTGCCACCTTCAAACCCTTCCTGCTTCACAGAGAAAGGAGGCAATCCCTTAGTACAGAACTTAGGGATGCAGCATCGCAGGGCCACCTCTTTTCTGATGCTCTAAATAGAAATGTCTTCATTGCTGTGAATTAGCTGCTGTTCTGAGAAGAGTGGAAACGCAGAGCTCAGATACCTGAGCCATTGACGTCACCTAATGGTGCTGCACAGGCCTGGACAGACGCTTAGATTTTCCAATAACAAAGAATTTTTATGTCTCTGGCTAGCCACAGTGTTTTTCCTACTCATCTAAGGAGGCTGAAATGAACGGTGATGGGTCTGTGACGGGAAGGGCTCCCCAGAGGGTGGGAGCAGCCTGTCTGAAGGCGGTTCTGGCCACACTGCTTTCTGGGGCTTAGCCTTGACGTCAAGATCCGCCCATGGGTTTGCATTTTAACAAGGAATGAAATTGTAAGCCAGGGTGCTATCTTCTGGTAGTGCCTGTCATCAGCACAAAGCCCTTTTCCTGGGTGGACCCTGTAGCTTTTTGCCAAGGGGCTGGAAGTGCTCGGGGAGGTTTGGTGGCTGTAAACACCGTCTTCCCCCACACACACTTGCTCCCCAAATATGCCAGGGATGGTCTCTGCCCCAGAAGCCGTGGGGGTCACGGACAGATCAACGGGATACATTTCGAGAGCATGGTGCAGGGGAGGTAGGAACCGAGAGCAGGAGAAGCACAGAACACAGGACCAAAGGAGACTGGCTAGAATTTTTTTAGGTGTCATCTAGGACAAGAGGCAACAAATGGTAGCCTCCAGGCCGAGTGTGGCTTATTGTATATAAAGCTTTATTGGAATAGAGCCACACTTTGTGATGTCGTGGTCCCTTTCCTACTTCAGCAGCAGAGAAGTTACTGCAGACGCTATGTGGCCCACAAAGCCTAAGATGTGTACTCTCTGGCCCTTCACAGAAAAGTTTGCCAACCCCATTTCAAGAGGATAATTTTCTTTTTGGACTACCCACTTTGCTGGGCCCAGGACAGTCCATCTGGCACCCCAGAAATGGCCCCCTCCATGCGCACACACACTTCTTTGGGCCCTTAGTTCGTGCCACCCCTGTACCCTGGTGCAGAGCCTGTCTCAACCCCTTTAGACCGGTAAGACACGAGGACCTGTTCCCTTCAGGCTTTTGCCTTTTCGTGAGGTCTAAATCCAAATCCAAATGCATGACTCAAAGTGGAATTTCACGGACCTGCTACCATGGTCCAGGAGTCAAGCTCGTCCTGGGAAAGGAGGCTTCTAGATCCTGACTTCACACTACCTTCTCCTAAGCCGGCCTGGTCAAAGCAGAGGGGCCTCCCCACTGGCATCCCTACAGTGCCCACCCTTAGCGCATCCCCATTCAAGTTTTTTCCTCCAGGCCTCGGCCACGGGAATACGGAGAGCACCGCCCTCCCAAAAGCCAGAGTGCCAGGGGCAGGTGTGGAGCCTGGGCAGAGAG